CATAAGCTATAATTTAGATTATCATTACAAGACAATTCTGAAATATCTTTTTAATTTTCATAACATGTTTGAGTTTATATATCCCATCTACAATCACCTTTTGTGTTTTTGAAACATGCTCTATTATTAGCATTAGTTTTTGAAACATCACAATTATCAAATTACGTTTCTGATTTTATGCACCTTTTTAAATCTGCAGAATACTCACACAGTTAACCTTTTTTATTTACCTATTGACATACAGTATTGCTAACATCTCCTTTTTCGTAAAAATAATCACAATCGACGTTTTGAGGAGCATTTATACACAAATCTAAGTCTTTATCAAAAAAACAAGGTTATGCATTTTTTATGTTACCTATAATTGTCACATTTTCTATGCAAGCCTTAATATTTAAATTAGAAGAACAAACTGGTAATTCGGCAATCCCATCTTTAAATAAAGTAACACATTTTAAATTATATTAATCCCATAAACAAAGATTATTTCCAGTATATCTAGTACATATGTTTTTATTTCCTGTTACATCTTCACAATTTTGATACTAAGTTTCAGAATTACTTGGATCTTCTGCTTTGCATCTTTTATTGGCTTCATCATAAGTAAAATATTTTTGTTTATTGAAATTCGTAAGTTTTGCTTCAATAGCTAAACAGGCAAATTTATTCAAACGGGAAGGTTCTTGAGTTAATATTGTTAAATCTTTTATAGAAGATAATTTTAGCTGAGCACAAGTGTATCCATCATAAAAACAATGTTCTGAAGTAGACCAATTAATCATATGACAAGAATTAAAAGTCATAGAAGAACAAGGCAATTATTTGGAATTAAAATATTATGCTACCAATTTTTCATCATTTAAATCAACCATATCCATTTTCAATTCAGTGCACTTAAGGTCAATAAAATAACAATAAACTCCCTCTTCTTACAATGAAAACCTGCTGCATGTATGCGCATTTATGCCAATTAAATTTGTTTCTGTGCAGCATTTAGTTGTACAATTTTCATTAAAAATCTGACAATTTTTTGTGTTTTAATCAAAATAACAATAATCTTTAAAATCATTTAATATAGATGCACATACATTTGGATTAATTAAGACATTTGTTCCAGTATATTGTAAGCATTGAGTATTATATGCAACTTATATATTAGTACAAGAGTTTATTTTATATGACCATTCACATATTTGACCTGGTGTAATTATTGAGGTACAATCTATTTTTGTGAGAAATCTAGAAGCACAATTTTAAACTGAATTAAATGTGAGGTCAGTTGGTAAATCATTTGTTTTACTACCATCTTAAGCACTGCTAATGCATTTTATTCTATCAAAATAACATAGTTGTTTTTCATCAATTTAATTAATCTATTAATTAATTTTTGTACAACCAAAAGAATTCAACCCTTTTGTGTCACAATTTGAAGATTACCCAATATTATTAATACATCCTTTTAAGTGATCTAAATATCTACATGGTTCTTATTTAAATGAAGCTAAAGCACAAGCTTAATAATTGGAATATTATAAATGCTAACAAGGTATTGATGAAATATCACTTTTCTTAGAGAAATGAATGCATTAGTCTTAATACCATCTACATGGAGTAAATTCAGTATTAATAGATGCACATAATACTTTATTTATTCCTAGTGATGAATCTTTACATGTAATTGTGTTCAAGAATTTTATAATTGATTTATCATCCGAATCAACAAGTATTGATTTACATTATTATTTTGTTTTATCGAAATAACATCCAAGTTAATTACTTTCATAAATCTATGAACAAGCATATGAATTTGTATATCCTATGCTTTCACATTTATTTTATAAATATTCAATTTAAATATATGAGCATCCTTTATTTGTCCATTAACATGCTTATTTATTTTGAATACTTTGACAACCATTCTGATTAAGAAATGGAGTATCACAAAAATCATCAAATGAACTTGCAATACATAATTAAGTATTTTTATCGTATTTACACTTCACATCTGGTTTAGATATTGCCTAACATACATTTCCATTAACCTTCATTTCAGCATACTTTAATTTCAATGGGCAATCAATTTCTTAATTTATAAATAAGCCTTCACAATTATTTCCATTCCATAAACAATATTGAGAACTTTTTAATAAATTAATGCAAGCTGATTCATTCAAATCCATATCACATTAATATGTTAGAAGATCACTTTAATTAAGTTCCTAACAACTTCCTTTATAAAATGAGCAATTTTATGATTTTATTTTCAAACATGCTTTCTTAGATAATCCTGGTGTATTACATTTTAAGTTATTTATTTCATTTATTTCAATAGTTCTACATTTTTTCAATTCTTCATTATACTTACATAACTCTTATGAATGCTAACAAACTTACATGTTCACTTAATTTATAGTTTAACATTAATAATCTTATTCTTAAAATATTCTACAAGAGGATTCCACCCATTTACATAATAATTTTGTTTCATTATACGTTATTGCTGATAGACAAGCATTTTCATTCAATTTTAAATTGCATGAAGTAATTTAGTCAGGTTATATTGATTTACATTAATTATCTAAAAATATGCCTAATTTTGAATAAAAAAAAGTATTACAATATTAATCTTTAGTTGTTATAGCCAGACAGCCATTTTGATTTAAACCTGACTCTTAACATGTTAATTTAGATAATTAATCTAATCTTATTTCTACACATTTAAAATCTCCTTGAAATCCATCATTAATAACTATTTAAAAATTTATGCTTACATAAACCAGATTCAATTAATTAACAAGTGTAAGGTGTCACAGAGAAGCTGAATTATT